AAAGATTTTTAAAAAGTAATGCTATAAATTTTTCTGAAACATTATACCCATCTCAAAACCTATCTTTAGCTAGAAATTAAAAAATGAAAAAAACAGAAAAAGTGATATTTATATAATTAGATCAGTCAGGCAAAATATAATTTCCTGCTGAAGTAGGAACATTTTCAAAGCTAGCTAATTAAAGGAATTACCCAAATACGTACTGTTTTACTAGTCAGCTTAAATTACATCTCACAGAAACAATAAGGATAATTAAAAATGCATAGTCAGACTAATAAAAAATAAACCACTAAATATTATTATACATACTACATATACATTCTAATTTTGACATAAAGAATAGCTATGGAAACCCTAGTGGCATAGTAGCTAAGAGTTTGGTTGCTAAGCAAAAGGTCAGCAGTTCGAATCCATAAGCTGCTCCTTGGAAACCCTATGGGGCAGTTCTACTCTGTCCTATAGGGTTGCTATGAGTCAGAATTGACTCAATGGCAACGAGTTTGGTTTTGATTTTGTATGTGATTTCATAATATAAATAAGGTAAGAGGAGGAATAATATCAGCTTTTTGAAGAAGAAATTAATGCTAATAGCTTAAAGACTGAGATGGAATATATTTTGGAAATATTCCATCTCAAGAGAAGACCTAGAGCCAGGATTAAGGTGATCTGACTTATTTACACAATCATACAATGAGCCTCTACTAGGTACAAGTCACTTTCTACTATGTACTTTGGAGGACGGTACAAAAATGTACTGTAGGAACTGGGACTTACCTAGTTTTGCTGTACATCCAAGTGGGTTAAAAAGTGAACAGGAAGTCAAAACAGTAGATAACTTCCTGCTCTATCAGTGGAATCAAGTATAAAAAAAAAGATAAGGTTGTACATGGAGGACGAGTCTTTTTTGTTGTTTGTTTTTAGACAGCAGTTTGAGCAAGTTAGTAGGCATACACTGGTGGAAAAGAGGCTGCAACTTAAATGAGAAAATAGGAAGAACATGTGGTACAAGGTCCTGGACATGGTTGGTGGGGGATCTGAATCAAGAATATAGCTAAATTTTCGTGTATATATATTCATATATACATATGAAATCAGAACCCTACCAACTCTCTCTCTATATATATATATACATATACGTATATGAGTTAGGTTTTCAAAGAACATGTATCTTTTTCTCAGACTGAGAAGGAACTAAGATAATTATTGGCTTTTCTATGAGAAAGATATATCATCTGGCACAAGGTGACATCAAAAGTATGAAATAGTTTTGAAGTTATTTCTATGGGAACGGGAGAGCTGATGAATAAGAAAAAATATAATAAAATGCCAATTTAGATACTCCTTAAGAATCTAAAACTTTATCATGACACCTAGAAAAAGTATGCCAAATATGAATATTCAGTGGTAATTATCTTCTACTTGAAGACTATACTCAAATAGGTGAACTGATAAAATATAATAAAATCATCAATTTTTAAACAAGAGATTAAAAAAAATAGTAATTCATGAAAAGGAGCACATGTGACTTCCCTTCCATTAAGTGTACATTCTGATTCAGTTTCATAAAAGGTGTGACTCTCTTGAAGCATTCATCTCTAATAAGGTATATATTTGGATCTTCTGCAAACTCAATGAATTCACCTAATACACTCTTTATACATCACTATTTTAACGAGCACTGATAATGCAAGGGTTAAGCACTGGGCTGCAAACCAAAAGGTTGGTGGTTTGAACCCACCCAGCAGCTCTGTGGGAGAAAGACCTGGCAATCTTCTCCTGTAAAGATTACAGCCTAGAAAACCTTATGGGCCAGTTCTACTCTGTCATGTGGGGTAACTCTGCTATGAATCAAAAACTGACTTGATAGCACCTAACAACCACTTCACTATTTTAGAGTATACATTTTCTTTAAGAATCACAAATATGAATTTCAGTAAAACCAGGGTAAATTCTGCCATGAAGTCTAAAAGGAAACTATAATACTTGAAAAACAGATGAGGTTGTACCTGGAGAAGGAGTGATTTTTGTTGTTGTTATTTGTTTTTAGAATATAAAAACAAAGAAAAATACAAAGGAAAAAATTAGAAACAAAAATCACAGTATATAAATACTGTTTATAAAGGCTCACTGCATAAAGAAATTCAGATAACTTGAAGTATATACACACACAAAGGTGAATGCTTTAGTTTCAAAACATTCCGCATATGTACAGAGCATTCTTTTGTAAAAGAAAGGCATGTTGAGTCATTTTACTTTACCCTTGTTCCCTTTGGCATGGCCGTTTCATCAACCAACAGGCAAAGAATATTACAGGCCACCAAGAGGACCGAGATGGACTACAACACAAAAAGCAGGCCATTAGTGCTCAATTTCAAGGACTTTTTATCAACACACATAATTAAAATCTAAATAACCAAATAAATGTTTCAGAATACAGCAAAAGCAGTCCAGGCCTGAATTACATGTATAACACTAAGGGAATCAGACTATCTACAAAATCTCCAGAATAAATTCTGCAAATTATTATTATTTCAAAGCTCGTGACAAAAGCTAATAATACAGAGACCCATTTACTAACTGATCTCACTAAATGGGGACAAAAAAAAACAAACAAACTCAGAAGCCTGCAGATTTAAAAGGTGGTAAAATGCCACCAGAGCTGATTTCGCACCGTACTTTCCATATCCCATCAGAGAGGCTGACGCAGGGCATCAGCAACACTTTGTCTTATTTTTCAATGAAGCAGAAGGCAGAATTTTTTGCTTTCATGAATAAACAAATAACCTTGTGGACTTTTCAAAAATTGCCATTAATTTCCATTTTTGCTCTATTGAGTTTTTACAGATAAAGGCATATACAGATTTCAATTATGTGGCTAGAAAACAAATTCACTAGAAACCATGTAGCTGAGGGGGTTGCCATACTCAAATGTCAAAATAAATGAAAAATAATTGGCTTTATGTAACTAGGCAAATGAATTCTTACTGTCTCTATAAGAAGGAGGACCATAACAGCAGGATACACCAAATTTCGTTCCCATGCTGAAGCCTTTTTTCGTCTCTCTGTTAGAAGGGAAAATAAAATAAAGTATTTCAGTAATTTCTAAAAATTCTCTCCAGATTCACATTTTAATTCCTTACTGCTACAAACAGTATTATTTTTACATAATTTTTTTCAAAATACATAAATTAAATTTTTCTCCCACAAACTATAAAAATTAACTTTTAAAACATTTTGCTCCATTAATGACTCAATCCTGTGATATTTGTATTTCAGCTCTATGAAGACATTTCATTTTTTAAGGAAATATATTGTTAATATACACCTTACTTAAAAAATTTAGAGATATTTGTATTTTATATAAATATACATGTTGGTATAGATACATATTTGAATAAATAAAGTAACAGGAATAAATATCTCCTCTAATCTCATATTCTAATGATAAACACTTCTGGTTTTCTAAAAGCTGGAAATAAACTTCTAGCTTTGATGGACTACCTTGTACCACATCAATCCTCAATCCAAGAACAATTGGGAAAGATGGATCAATTTAATAAAAAAAAAATTATATGAAGTTATCAGAGCATTATCAAGACAACTAAAACTTGAGAGCCAATATTCTACAAAATGCACTGAGGTGAGCCTTCCCTTTTGCACTACTTTCCACTGCAAGACATTTACCAATATATAATTAGAATGGACCCATGAGGCTCAGAAATCAGTAAGTAAATGGCAAAGATGTTAAAGCAAAGCTTTCAGCAAACTCAACAGAGCCTAGGAGACAACACTGGAGTTTAGGGTTACCGAGGCAACCACAACTTGAGAGATTATGATCATAATACAAACACAATAATGCTGTCGAGTCAATACCAACTCATACTGACCCTAAAGCACAGAGTAGAACTGCCCCTATTGAGTTTCCTAGGCTGCAATCTTTACGAAAGCATACTGCTACATCTTTCTCCCATGGAGCAGCTGGTGGGTTTGAGCCACCGACCTTTTGGTTAGCAGCCGAGTGCTTAACCACTGAGTCACCAGGGATCCTTATAATCATAGAGAAAAGGAAAGGGCGAAGAAATGAGCTAGACATTCAGTGTCACTTTTCTCCTTCAGGTATCAGAGGCTAAGGGGCTGAGAAACAGAAAGATGGGCTAAGAGGCTGAGAAGCTAAGCAAAGCTTCTGCCAGACTCATGTTTCCTGAAAGGCAAAATCTAGAGTTGCAGGTAAGTGAAGAAGATGGGATCACAGTAAAAAACAAGACAACCAGACTTTCAGTTGGGACCAAAGAAAAGCTACAGCCTAGGATTAATGCCAAACCAGAAATAGATCCATCCTAACAAAGACCAAAACCCAACCTCAAATGATCTCAAGCCTAGACAGATTAAATTTGATTTGTCCCTATTTCAACTACCTGCCAGAGCAAAAGTAAATCCTATCTTAAAGAAGAAAATATTATCTAGAGTTTCTATAATTTTGTTTAAAAATGTTTGGAATTCAATCAAAAATTACCAGAAGACAGGACCAAGATGAAAAAAAAGAGACACATAATTCATCCAGATATTGGACTTATCAGAAAGAGAACTTGAAATAACTGATTAATATATTCAATAAAATAAGTGATAAGACAACAAATTTCACAAGGGAATGTGAATCTATAAAAAATACACAAAGTCTAGAACTAAAAAATTTCACTAACTAAAGTTAAGAATTCAACAGTTTTGACAACAATTATGATGTAGCTAAAAAGAGTGAAATGGAATAGAGATCAGCAGAAAATATGACAGACTGAAGCATGGAAATAAAAAAAGGACAGAAAATACAGGAAAGAATGAGTGAAAAGGTCTAGCACATGTGTAACTGGATTCTGAAGAAACAAAAGAGAATGAGACAGAGGTAATATTTGATGAGATAATGACCAAGAATTTCCCCAAACGGATGGAAGACATTAAGCCACAGACTCAAGAAGCGCCATAGATTTCAAGAAGGATAAATACAAAGAAAACCAAACCTAAGCACATCAGAGCAAAACTGTTACAGACAAAAAGAAATCCGAAAAGCCCTTCAAACCAACAACAAAATGACTTTTAATCAGAAACCAGAAGACATTGGAATGACATCTTTACAGTGTTGAAACAAAATAATCCCCAAATAAGAATTTCAATTCACTAAAGGCAACTGTGAAGGCAAAATAAAAATGCTTTTAGATAAACAAACAGAAACTGAGAGAATTCACTGCAGGCAAACGGGCACTAAATGAAATACGGTTGTTAGATGCCATTGAGGTGATTCCAACTCATGGTGACTCTGTGTACAGAGTAGAACTGTTCCACAGAGTTTTCAAGGTATGCTTGGGGTCGCCACGGGTTGGAATCCACTCGACAGCATCTTTCAGAAGAACATCACCAGGGCTTACTTCTAAAACGCCTCTGGATGGGTTTGAACCACCAACCTTTTGGTTAGTAGTCAAGCACTTAAGGGTGTTTTCCAAGCAGAAGTTGAATGATCAATGGAAACACAAAATCGTAAGGAGGAATAGAGAGCAACAAAAAGAACAAATTTGTTGGAAAATCTAAGTGAATACTGACTACACAGAATGATGATGATGATGATGATGCTGTCATCCTCATTTTGTGGGGTAAGTAATGTAGATTTAAAATAAATTAAAACAGTAACATCAAAGCGGGTAAATAAGGTTCAGGTAGTAGAAAAAATACTAATTTATATTGAACTCTGATAAGTAAAGGTGCATTTGTAGTCTCTAAGGTACATATAAGAAGCCCCGGTGGCGCAATGGTTAAGCACTCGGCTACTATCCAAAAAGCCAGAGGTTCGAACCCACCAGCCACTCTGCAGGAGAAAAGACCTGGCGATCTGCTCCTGTAAAGATTACAGCCTTTTCTTTGGGGCAGTTCTACTCTGTCCTACAGGGTCGCTATGAGTCAAAATCGACTCAGCAGCACACAACAGCAACAGCAGCAGGGTAAGTAAGTAATATGTACAAGTAATAGAAAAACAGAATAATAAAAAAATTAATTAATCCAAAAGAATGCATGAAAGAGAAAAAAGAACATAAAACAGGTTGGACAGACAGTAAGATGGTAGTTATAAACCTATCAATAATTATTTAAAATAGATATGAACTAATTCTCCAATTAAAAGACTAAGATTATTTTATTAGATTTAATATGATTTATTATGTTGCTTATAAAAATACATCTTAAATAAAAGGACACAGCAACTTACAGCTAAAGGAAGCTGGTGTAGCTATACTAAAAGTAAACATGAAAGCAAGAAACATCCCTGTAAAGAAACAGGGACATTTCATGATAAGAGTTAATTGATAATGATGACCGTACACTTACAAATCTATATATATCTAATAATATAGATTCAAAATATATAAAGCAAAAATTGACAGAAATAAAAGAAGAACTAGACAATTCCACAATAGACATGGGATACTTTGACACACTTCTCTCAATAATATAATTAGCAGACAAAAAAATTGGTAAAGATGACCTAAACACTACGATTAACAAATTTGACCTAACTGACATGCGTGAGCGCATGTGGAAGAAAGGAGGGAGGGAGGAAAGAAGGAGAAGGTAGGGAGGGAGGGACAGAGAGAAAGAGAGAGAGACTTGCACCTCAAAATGACATGACAGAATACATATTATTTTCAAGGTACATGGAACATCTACCAAAACTGGCCATATGCTAGGTCATGAAGCAATTCCAAACAAATTTCAAAGGACTGAAAGTATTCCAAATGTTCTCTGATCATAGTAGAATTAAAATAAAAAAATCAGTTTCAAAAAGATGAACAGAAGATACCCATAAGTTTTAAAGTTAAGCAATATACTTCTAAATAATACATGGGTCAAAAAAAATAAATCACAATGATTTTAGAAAACATTTTAAACTAAATAATAACAAAAATACAACATATTAAAACTTGGGAGGTTCATCTAAATTTTCTTTGAGGGAAATTCACACCAATAAATGCATATGCTAAAAAGAAAGACATCTGAAAAACAATGAAAAAAGCATCCATCTCTAGAAACAAAAAAGAATAGCAAACTAATTCCAAAAAAAGTAGAGGAAAGAACATAAGAGAAATAATAAGAACTATAAATGTACAGCAAAGAAAAATCAACAAAAAAACTTGAGTTTATTAATAATTTCAGACAAGGACGAGAAATGTGGAGGAAAGAGAAGCATTCTGTAATAATGAAAGACAAGCCAAGAGAATATACAGATGCTAGACCTGATGTCATTAAAACATTAAACCAATGCTAGCAGCTGTCTGTTATATGGAAAATAAATTTAAAATAAACCTCTGTCTATTTAAATCACTTTGTCTGGTTTTCTGTTATCAGCAGATGAATACATTCATAACTGATAAAAATACAACATCAAGGAATCCTGTTTTCTTTGAAGAGCCATTTTGTATATATACAAAACAAAGCAAACAAACAAACAAAAAGAATAAACTTATGCTTATCCTCTACACAAACTAAAAGACTGTCTTTATCAACAACTTTGGACAGATTAGAAGCTCCTAATATAAAGTAAAAAGTCTACCTTTTATCTCATATTTTAGATTATAGTAAAGTCTTTAATAAGAAACCAAGACCAATACACAATTCATGAAAAAAATGTACAGTACCTAATTTTGTTTTCAGAGTCTTCACATTTTCAAGTTCTCGTTCTAACTTCATTATATTGTATTCCACTGACGATGACAGCCCTATCCAAAGCAGAAGTATTTTAGAAGTACACCAACAGAACCCCCAACAGTATACAACAAGGAGACTTCACATTAAGTTAAAATATAAAATAACATACTGCAAATCCTGATAATTGGTTATAAAAAACAAATGCTGCTGTGATTCACAAAAAAGTATACTCGTTTCTTTAGCAGTAAAAACCTCCATGTATTTGCTGATTAAGCCTACAGTTTTCTTAGAAAGTTTCTTACCTTGATAAGATTCTTCTTTGATCTATTATTAATTTTTTATTAGAAAAATATCATGTGACTATTTTAGAAAATGAAAGGAAATTAAGAAATTGCCTCTTCTTCATTCCACTCCCACCTCTCTAAGGTGACAATTGTTAACAATTTGGTTGATACTTCTGCACCCTTCACAGAAACAAATACATATAAATAATACATATAGTACATAATACATATAAATAAATAATACATATAGTGTTTTATTACAAACTTTGCAAGAAAGGGATCATATCATTTGATATCCATACGCCATTTGATTCCTTAGTTACTAATATATCCAAGTTGACAGGTACCTCTAACTCCTTAACAGATGAATACTATTCCATAGTATGGATGTACTACACTAATTTTATTCAGCATTACTCCATTTAGGAACAGAGGTTTTCTCAATTTTTTTTACCACTAAAAATAATGTTGCAGTAAACATTCCTGTATGGCACATCTAGTAGATTCTGGTTCTATTATTTCTGTAAGACAGATTCCCAAAATTGGGATTGCTAGGTCACAGGATATGTGCATTTACAATTTTAAGATATATTTCTAGGATACTTCCCCAAAATACTGTAATAATTTACATTTCTACAAATACCTTTTGGAATTTAGTTTCAGGACTTAGTTTATAACAACAGATTCTTAGATATGACACTGAAAACACAAACAAAAGACAAAATAGATAAATAGGATCTTATCAAAATTAAAAAACTTTAGTTCATCAAAGGACTTTACAAAGAAAGTAAAGTGATAAACTACAGATTGGGAGAAAATGTGGGCGGATCATATATCCAATAAGGGTTTAATATCCAGAATATATAAAGAACTCTTACACCTTAACAACAAAAAGACAAGCAACCCAATCAAAATGGGCAAAGGACCTGAATAGACATTTCACCAAAGAAGAAATATAAATGGCCAACAAGCACATGAAAAGATGCTCAATGTCATTAGTCTTAAAAGAAATGCAAATCAAAACCACAATGAGAAACCAACATTCATTGGTGTTTACCAGGGATGGAATGGGGAGTCAAGGGGAATCACTCTCTAGATAGACACTTTTGGTGATGGGAAAGGTAACATCAAATGTGGGTGAAGTATGCACAACTTGACTAAAGTAAATGATGTTACTAAGAAGTATACAGAGCCCTGGTGGCACAGTGGTTAAGAGCTACAGCTGCTAACCAAAAGGGTGCAGTTCAAAACACCAGCCTCTCCTTGGAAACCCTACAGGGCAGTTCTACTCCGTCGGAATTGACTTGACAGCAACAGGATTTTTTTCTTTTTGGTAAGAAGTATACAAGAATAAGGGATGTTTTTGGAAAATGCTACAACACATACAATTTTGCAACAACAGCCAAAAATATGTGTGTGGTTACATATACAGGGCTGCATGCATATACATGTATATAGTTAGGTATATGCTTGTATATATGTGCGCATGTATAGGTGTATCTCTGGCATATGTACATACATGTATGTGTGTGCTGCATATATATTTACATATATAATAAAGCATTGGAGCCCTGGTGGCCACGATGGTTAAGAGCTTGGCTGCTAACCAAAAGATCGGCAGTTCAAATCCACCAGTCACTCCTTCTTGGAAACCCTATGGGGCAGGTCTACTCTGTCCTATAGGGTGCTATGAGGCAGAACCGACTCAACAGCACATAACAACAACACAACAACATAATAAAGCACACAGGAGGTACTTCTTAGACATAACCAAATACCTCGCAGGATTCGGTTACTGAATTTGAAGGCTTAAGACCATGATCTTGTCGGACAACTGGATCAACTGGCATAATATACTTCATAAAGTTTATGTTCTAAATCTTAGTTTGAGGAGTATTATCTGGGGCCTTAAAAGCTTGTGAGTGGCCACTTAAGACACAACTATTGGTCTCTATTCATCTGGAATAAAAGAGAAAGGAAGAAGGAAACCAAAGACTCAAAGATGAAACTAATCTACAGGACTAACAGTATATACACAAACCTCAGCCTCATCTACCACGAGATCAAAGCTAGATGGTACCCAGCTACCACTACCAACTGTTCTGATCAGGGGCACAACATAATGGACTTTGATAGAATGGGAGAAAAATGTAGAACAAAACCCAAATTCTTAAAAAGTCCAAACTTATCAGACCAGTTGAGACTAGAGGAATCCCCAAGATTACGACTCTAAGAGAACCTTTACACTTTGCACTGAAACTACTCCCAGAGGTCACCTTTCAGCTAAATAAGACTGGCTCATAAAATAAACAATATCACCTGTGAATACTGTGCTCTTTTAAAAAATCATCTATATGAGACCAAACAGTCAACATTTACACTAAAGTAAAGATAAGAAGGTAACGTGGGGCAGGGACACTAGATTAATGGAAATGGAAATAATGAGAATGATGACACATTGTGAAAAATGTAACCAATGTCACTGAACAATTTGTATGGAAATTGTTAAATGGGAATCTAATTTGGTATGTAAACTTTCACTGAAACACAATAAAATATTATACATACAAAAAAACACAACGAGATAACACTTCACACCCACTAAGACGGCTCTGATTTAAAAAACAGAAAACAATAGGTGTTGACGAGGATGTGGAGAAATTGTAACCCTCATCCATTATTAGTGGCACTGTAAAATGGTACAGCCACTGTGGAAAACAATTAGGTGGTTTCTCAAAAAGTTAAATATAAAATTACCCTATGACCCAGCAATTCCATTCCTAGGTATACACTCAAAATAATGAAAGCAGGAACAGAAACAGATACTTGTACACCAGTATTCACTGCAGCACTATTCACAATAGCCAAAAGATGGAAACAACCTAAATGTCTATCAACAAATAGATGGATAAACAAAACGTGGTATATACATACAGTGGGATATTATTCAGCCATAAAGAGTAATGAAATTCTGATACATGCCACAACATGGGTGAACCTTGAAAACATTATGCTGAGTGAAATAAATCAGTCACAAAAAGACAAATATAGTATGATCCCACTTACATGAAATATCTAGAATAGGCAAGTGTAGAGAAACCCAAGTTTATTAGTGGGTTCCTCAAAGCAATTTACAAATACAATGCAATCACAATCCAAATACCAACAGCATTCTTTAAACAAATGGAAAAACTAATCGTTAAACTTTATATGGAAAGGAAGATGCCCCGGATAAGTAATGCACTATTGAAGAAGAAGGATAAAGTAGGAGAACTCACACTACCTGACCTCAGAACCTACCATACAGCTGGTACTGGTACAATGACAGATACATTGATCAATGGAACAGAATTGAGAACCCAGATGTAAATCCATCCACCTACGGTCACCTGATCTTCGACAAGGGCCCAAAGTCGATCAAATGGGGAACAGTCTTTTTAACAAACGGCGCTGGCAAAACTGGATGTCCATCTGCAAAAAAATGAAATGACCCATACCTCACACCATACACAAAAACTAATTCAATATGGATCAAAGACCTAAATATAAAGCTCAAAACTATAAAGTTCATAGAAGAAAAAATACGATCAACGCTAGAGGCCCTAATACACGGCATTACCAGGATACAAACCATAACCAACAACACACAGACTTCAGAAGATAAGCTAGATAACTGGAATCTTCTAAAAATTAAACACTAATGCTCATCAAAAGACTTCACCAAAAGAGTAAAAAGAGAACCTACACACTGGGATAAAGTTTTGGACATTTACAAGTCAGACAAAGGTCTAATCTCTAAAATCTACAAGAAAATCCAACACCTTTACAACAAAAAGACAAATAATCCAATTAAAAAATGGGTGAAGGAAATGAACAGACACTTCACCAAAGAAGACACTCAAGCGGCCAACAGACACATGAGCAAATGGTCACGATCACTAGCCATTAGAGAAATGCAAATCAAAACCACAGTGAGATACCATCTCACCCCAGCATTACTGGCACGAATCAAAAAAACTGGAAATAACAAATGTTGGAGAGGCTGCGGGGAGATCGTAACTCTTATGCACTGCTGGTGGGAATGCAAAATGATATAACCATTTTGGAAAATGATATGGCGCCTCCCTAGAAAGCTAGAAATAGAAATACATATGATCTAGCACCCACTCCTAGGAATATATCCTAGAGAAATAAGAGCCATCACTCGAATAAACACATGCACACCCATGTTCATGGCAGCATTGTTCACAATAGCAAAAAGATGGAAAAAACCTAGGTGCCCATCAACAGATGAATGGATAAACAAAC